GGGAATGGGAATATAGGGAGAGGGATAGGAAATGGATATGTTTAATGCTGGGAAATTGGGTTGGAAAAACTGGGAAAAGGACATATTAAAGTTGCTCTTTGTATATCTTGAAAGTACATTGATATTAAATCTATAATTTCTACTTTAGCTTAATGTATTTTTAAATATGAAAATAACTTTATTTCCCTTGGCATCTTTTTACCATTAAATTTTCTTTAAGCTGTACTAGATCAAAACCAAAAACCAATAGCACAAGGAGAGATTTTCTATTTTTAGTTCATTTTTCCCTTCCCACAACCTACTTTTCCATCCTAATCATCAATAAGACATTAAATACCAGAGGGAAATACCAAGAAAACTGACGGCCTGCTTAAAACCCCGATGAAGGATCATTATTCACACGCCTTAAAGCCATCTCCCTTACGGTCCATTCAATAATAAAATATGAAAACAAACAAGGCGCCCATTGTCATGGTCACCTAATCCGACTGGCCAAAAATGGCCAGCTTCTTGAGCTCCTTTTGGCCAACTTAAAAAAAAGAGAAGAGAAAATAATCATTTCAAATGCAAAACCCAACCGGAGGAGATGAAGATAAAGAAGAGGACCCAAATGACCGCCAGCTGTGCCAAATTCTTGGATCCAAGCACCGCTGCACATGCCACAACTCTCCATAATTTTTCTTCTCGACCTTCTTGCGGCTTTCTTGCCCCGCCTGATGCTGCACAGATGATTCAGATTCATTTAATTTTCCCTTTTTTTTGGTAAATGGTTAAAGTCAGTGCAGGGAACGGGGTATATATGTATATATATAGATATATAGGAGTAGGCGTGGCAGAGCCTCCGCATCTGGGAAAGACTGTCAGTCAGTCAGGGAACTCTGAAAACTTTTGCCTGCCACGCACAATTTTCCACTTTCAACTTTTCCAAGGGGGGGGTGCTCTTCTTCGGCAAAGGTATAGGAACTTGTGGGTGGGCTCAGCTTTATGCTTGGCTGATGTTGCGATAAGCAGGCTATGTCGTCGCTGGTACACTGGAAAAAATTATAAAAAGAAAACAAATTTAAATAAAAACATGTCATACAAAATGTATTTTTTTAAATTTAATATTAATTTGATTTTAAAGGGGACTAATTGGAATTCAATTTTTTTTAATAAGAAACACTAGTTATTTTCCTCAGTGTATCTTGCCACTGCTGTCGCAGCCGCAACGCTGCACACGCCACACAGAAATGGGTGAAAAGGAGGTGGAGAGCTGTGTTGGGTGTAAAGAAGGGGCGGAAGGGACGGAAAGGGCATGAGTTGCCCTGGGGCAGGGATGAAACAACGTTGTTGTTGTTGCTGCTGTTGTTGCTGCTGTGTAGTTGGCGCCAGTTTCCCATGTAAAAGTTGCTGAAAAGTGTAACGCAGTCGAAGCTTGACAGAGTTAAAGTGGATAGGGGATGCGGTTAAGTTTCGGAGTTTGGAGGGGGAAGGCTTGTGGTGGTTGCGGGGTGGGTGGAAAAGGAAAAGGAAAGGGCAGATGCCGTTGCCACGTCGCCTACGCGGCATAGTTTCAACTTTCCTGGTCTAGCACTGTACGAATATTTTGGCAATATTGACTTGAAGATGAGTTTGGACTGGGTTAAGGGCAACATAAAATATTATTAAATTTAGAAATAATAAAAATATTAAACATGATTCTGGATTAAATGCCATATTTTCGCTTTGCCTTTTTATAATATAGTTTCCAAAATAAGAAGAGTATCTCCCTGTCCACCTAAGAATCAAATTTTGAAGTTTGTTTTTGTTTTTGGCAAAAATTCACGCACTTTTCCGTAGTGCCCTCCGTGCAGGGACCCCCTTTTTATGTGTGCGTGTTTTTGGGCAAGTACATAGAGGCGCCGTTATGTGCGCAGATTTTCCTCCTCCGGCTGGAAAATAGTCCTAGACTCCATGAAAGGCATGAGGATGATGGCATATTTTCGCCTTCACTTTCACTTGCCACCTACCAGATGAAAATCGAAAGAGAAGAGCAAAGTGAGAGAGGGGGGCGGCAGCAAACTTTCGACATCAAAAAGAACTACTTTCGATAATCACAGGACTGGCGCCAGAGGAATTACATTTCAGGCGGCTGTGCGGGAGAGTTTTCCACGCTTTTTACTGCCACCATGTTGGGCGTTTTTTTGGTTTTAAAGTTTGGCCAAGTTCGAGCTGGTAGATGGTATATATTTTATGCTCATAACAAATTCCCATACTCATTTCCATTTTCATTTCTCTCTTTAGTCTTAGCTATTTTTTATGCAATTTTTTATTGGCATTTTATGCGTTGTATGAGATCAGCCGTGGGATAACATTAAATCAAGAGGTTCGCTTATTAATTAAACTAAACGAAACCATCCCTGAAGTTAAGGAGGAACATTAAATGACATCATGATGCTGCCCGAGGGGAAAATGGAAAAGTGCAGTGGAAAAACTACTTTATTGTAAAAGTCCGGTGGTTGGTCTTTGGTTATCTTTGTCCAGAAGTGGCGGTGGTGCGTTTGACCAACCGGTTTGCCATGGAAACCCTTTTTCATCTGAGGAAAATCCAAGCCGTTGCAGTTCCCAATTTAAAAGGTAGTTTCACTTTGACGGGGTTGGAAGCTGGATATTATCTTGTTGGGGGTTAACCGAAAGGGGGATGAAAGGACTGAATGGCAAGGTGAAACAAATGCATTTTCATTTAACAAAGGATACTACTTTCGAAGGGAAATGCATGGCAATTTAAAATTTAAATAATAGATGAAAGTGTCTCTTAGAGGGCTAAACTGGTCTTAAAAGAGAATTCCATTCCATTGAATACAATATAAACAGGTTTTTAATGGCAAAAAAAATAATAATTTTGACCATTTTTCCTAATGGAAGGACCTTTATCAATATTTAAATTCCTTCTTTATTTTTCAAAGATTTATTGAATATCCTGGTATAATTTTACAGGATTCTGGATTAGTGAAAAGTATTATAAATTGCATTCATCAGGATCTCGCCTGCCTTATGTTATATTCTTCAAAAATCACGAACTTCCTGATAAAATAACAAGGTCCGGCGATAACAATAGATTGTTTGAGAGAATTAAAGGATTTCAAGTTTCCAGTCATTAAAGACAAAGTAATTGAATGGGTTTGTTTCTATTCTAAGTTTAAAAAATTGTACATTTTTGTTTTTTAAATAAAACCGTTTTTAAAAACCCGTTACAAAAATAGATCACCATCTCTTGATATACACATAGCTACCACCTTTTAACACTGAGCAATAACCCCTACCATCTCTAAATTGACAAACAGCTGATTGCGCCCGAAACAACAGCCCTGAAGTTATCGTTTGCAACCCTGCGCACACACCTGGCAACGCTGTTCTCAGCAGGCAGAGACGAAAACGACAAACGTCGAAATTTTCGTGATCATTTATTTTTAAAGGAAAACATACAAAATGATGAACGCCGTGTCGCGTGCTTACGTCAGAGGCGGAGCCCAGGTCCTTTCCACAGGATTGAAGGCATGCGGCCCAGCCGTCAATGCGATGGGTAAGATTCTCCAAGGTGGATTTGCCAAGGTACCAGCGAAAAACACAACCATTACATAATGAATGGAATGCCAAAAACCCGGAAAAACTTGACTAAAATCTAGGAAATGCCGCTAGGATTCAATTTGCAATAAGCTTCAAGGAGTATTGGCAAATTTCCTTACGTAATTTCAACATAACCTCCTACAATAACAACAATCAGCAGGAGTACCAAGCACACCCAACATTCCCATCGCACCTATGGGATATAGACAGTCGATGTTGAGCAAACTTGGGATACGGTATCTTTGAGATTGATAATAATATCCTGTGAAGTTTTGTAAAAATATCTTTTAAAACTAGAAAGTTTTGGACGAACTAAACCTGACAAGCTATTGGAAGTTTGTTTTGAATCATGTTAAAACCAAAACAGTATGGTCTATAATATATAATGAGTACTAAGTCCCAAGATTCTTTCTATTTCATTGACAAACAAAAAAATTCAGTTTTTCACAATCAAAATATCTCTACAAGAAATCTTTAAAGATATTTAATAATATCCTCTGTTATTCCAGCTAACCGCCAGGCACACACCGACCTGCAGGTGCCTGACTTCTCGCCATACCGCCGGGAATCCGTGAAGGACGGTCGTCGACGCAACGAAACCGCCGAGGAGCGCAAGGCTTTCTCCTACTTGATGGTCGGTGCCGGAGCCGTGGGTGGTGCCTATGCCGCCAAGGGCCTGGTCAACACCTTCATTGGATCGATGAGCGCCTCCGCCGAAGTCTTGGCCATGGCCAAGATCGAAATCAAGCTGGCTGACATCCCTGAGGGCAAGTCGGTTACCTTCAAGTGGCGTGGAAAGCCACTGTTCATCCGCCATCGTACAGCAGCAGAGATCGAAACCGAGCGAGGAGTGCCCACATCCACGCTGCGCGATCCGGAGACTGACGATGTAAGTAGCATGGAGTGGAGAGATTTTTATGGCAAAACACCGAAGAAGTGGACTTAAATCAGAGTTTGGTCTAACCTTTCACTATCAAGTTGCAAACGTAAAAATCTATCCATTCCATTATTACTCTATAAACATAGATAATTTCATTAATATTGTTTTTCGACTCTCCTTTAGCAACGTGTGGTCAAGCCCGAATGGCTGGTGGTCATCGGAGTGTGCACGCATCTTGGCTGTGTGCCCATTGCGAACGCCGGTGACTGGGGTGGCTACTATTGTCCCTGCCACGGCTCCCACTACGACGCCTCTGGAAGAATCCGCAAGGGACCGGCGCCCCTCAACTTGGAGGTTCCGACCCATGAGTTCCCCAACGAGGGACTCCTCGTTGTCGGCTAGAGAAGCAACACCCGCAGCGCTGTTATCGTTTAAGCCCCAAACTACATAGTGAATGGATCGATGTAAATTAATAAAAACAACCAAACAAAACGGCCGAGCATAAACGAAAAATTCAATCGAAATTGAGGAGGGATAAGTCTTAAGGACAATGATGTGTAGTCACTTTATTCAGCTTAACGTGTTAAATAATGAAAAAAATTAGCGAATATAGTAAACTAACATACAAATTTAAATACAACCTTTAAATACTCCTTTGTTGAACAATAATGAATAGTTATTATCATCAATTTTACTATTCTTTAATATCTTGTGTGATGTAAAATTAACTGTGACTAGTTTAGGAGTTACTTCGAATACTTTCCATTGATATTTCCTTCCTTTTCCTGAATTTGTATTTCGAGAAGTTTGTTCTGCAAATGCATATTTGCAATTTCCACTTTCACCTTTTCTATATCTAAATTGTACTTCTCCATTTCGAGTTTTCTTTGTGCCAGTTGAATTTTCTGCACTTCCATCTCAAAAATATGTTTTTCGACTGCTCTGGAGTTTTCAGAACGATAATACTTCTGCTGCAGCTTAAGAAGAGCTAGCTTTTCACCCATCAGGACGTTTGTGGAGGAATAGTCTTCCATTTTATGGTCAACTCTGATATTGTTAACAAAATTATTGCATGTCTCCGGCTCAAATTTTATTTCACTAGGCGTGTGCATGCTGTTGTATTCTGAATGCAAGTCAATGCTACCTAGAAAAAGATGATTTATATTTAGGTTTAAGAAACTGGATTAAAATAAATTATATTTCTGTGGCTTTCTTTACTCACTTTCTTCATCTCTAGCAGCCTCGGCCAGCGATGAAACTGCTGAAATGGACAGCTTATGTTCAATTCGCTGTATATCATCATCACCGTTTTCACTTGGGGTTTTTCGTCGTTTTAATCGCTGGTTATTGGTATATTTTTCCCGTAGAGCCTGCCATGGGCGCTCCATACCCGATTGAAGAGCAAAATCCGCTGCAATTTCCTTCCACGCCTCAGCTTTTTTGCCCCATATAATCGAACCAGTCTCTTTGCTTTCGATTACATCTTGATGCACTAGAATCAGGTTATTTAAAATCTTTTCCTCACTCACTGTGAAGTTTTTCAAGCGAGTTCTTTTACTAATTCCATTCATTTTAGTTTTCGTTAGTAAATATAAAATTAATAATTTTGGTAAACAAAGGTCAGCAGTTAGATGTAGACAGGTGCTACCACCTCATTGTTATCTTCGCAGGGATGGAGAACAACTAGCGGTATAAAAAGTATAAAAGTAATAAAAGTTGTGACCAAAAATGTTTTTGATATTAAATACAATTATTTTTTTTTAATAATATTGTTTATATTTATTATTTTTTAACGAAAAGAAACATTTCATGTTATCCAACACTAAACTCCTGCGCGAAGGCAAATATCAGCTGATAAACCTTATTTTAATGGTCTGGCAATACTGCCTATTGTTTTCTTAGTTTGTTGTCTTTTGTTGATATTCGCGTTAAAATATTTTGGCATTAAAATGGCCGAGGAAATCGACGATAATGATTTTTACCGAGAAAACTTCAGTGCCGACTCGGATTGGGAAGTGTTCAACGCTCAGCTTGGCGAGATCCTACAGAAATGGGACGTATCCGCGGAATCTGACGTGGGCAGAAGTCTCAAAGCTGAGGAAATCTACACCTGCAAATGGAAAGTCAAAAGCGAAACGCTGGATATGCTGAAGAATGGCATATCAGTGGAGTATCATCAGGCTATCCTGAAAGACGAAGAACTATCCAAGGAGCAGATCAAGGAGAATAACTGCCTGCAACGCACAAATTGCCATCATGACCTTATATCGAGTATAAATAGTTTTGGTCCACCAATAAGAAGCTCCCAAGATTTGCATATTCTGGCCAGGATTTACGGATTGAGGAGATTTATTGTTTTGCATCCCGTAAATCCCAATCTAAACTATATGAAGTCCACATCCGAGTTCAATTTCTTTCTGAGCGCCATCGCCGTTGTATCCGCAGAAGTTCAGAGCGTGGTACCGATCTTTGTCCAGATCTACGATCCCAAATGGAACTTTTACACTGGCGTGGCTTTAGCTCCAGCTTTGAGAACCAATTTCAGACTCATTGGATTGGAGAAGGCTCCGCCAGAGTGTCGTTACCTGATGGGTCTTCTGACCCTTTTCAGGGAAAAGGTTCCCACTTCATATCCGCAGGCAGCCATGATCTCCGTTTGCACCACATATGCTCTGGATACCATGCGCATCCGCATGCCTATGTATGTGCCCTTTGATCATGGTCTTAGTTCTGAGGATATAGTTGTTGAAGGAGTGGTCGCTCCCCTGGAAGTTCAGCAATTTTATGCTCTACCACATGGCTATACACCCGAATCTTGTACAGAAATCTATCTAGTTTATACCTGGCCAGAGTTGTCCGAACACGTGGCTTTTGATAGCGAACAGAGAAGTGATTTTGTGCCCTCTAAGGCTCCGCTTGGTAAGGTTTACCTATCCGTTGAGGCCTCGTCGTATTTGTCTTGCTGTCTGAGAGACTACCAGTCTGTAGCCGAAGTTACTAGATCCTTGGAGTCATTTGTGGGCAGAAATTTCTCTGGTACTAGCAGTGGAGCGGAGGCAGGATCAAATCCATTGGATCGCATAACGGAACACAAGTTAACGCAGCGCAGGGATCGGAATTATGAGTTGCCTTCACAGGCGGGATTAACAAAGAGATTACCGGGTCCCATGACCGAAAGCGAGTTAAGTGAACTTTTGGCCTATCTTTTCCCCGATATGCATCCGCAAATGGCACTGTTTCCGTACAACAAAAAGAGTTTTAAGGATAAGGTAAGTTGAATTTGCAATTTAATTGAATTCTTAAACATTGTCATGTTTTTCCAAATTCCTTTATTTAACTTAAATTGCAATTTATTACCAATTAAGCTTACATTTTTGTTAAATTCTTATTTAATTATTGTAATTCAGTTAACCTTTTTGTAATGAAGTTTTGTTTTGAATGCAGGAGAAACCAATTAAAACTTTTTAATCCAATCAATGGAAATGTAAACTGTATACGATTAAAAGTGTAACGCTTGTAATGTAAGTTTACATTAATTAAACTTTTTTTTACCTCCTCCTTTTTCCAGTTTGATCCCATGCGTATAAAAAGCGCTGTTCCTGACTCATTGGCTTGTCGTCTTAGCTGTCTTTTGGCCACCTGTCACGCCCATTTGGGTAGTGTTGAGGGCATGGCACAAGTGTGGGCGGCATTTACCCGTCAACTTCGATTGCTGTGGGATAACTGCCTAACCGTTCCAGGGTAAGTGAAAAACCACAACGAATAGTAACAAAAATATGCTTTATTTGGAACTTGATGCGTATAAACTAAAAACCAAAACGAAAAATTAAACTTTTCATAAATTTTCTAATAAATTTAGTTTTGCTAATCTGTGAAGCCGCAAAGTTAACATTTAAATTGGATTTACATTTAACAATATAACGCACATTTATTATGGATTCGTGTGTACTAGAAGTCTAACTGTTTTGGTTTGGTGGAGTTTTTATCTTCCTCAAAATCGGTTGGTGTCTTCGTGCTAGAGATGAGCGCTGTCTACTATATCCTCTCATTAGAAGTTATATAATATATATATATATATATATAGTGTGTATATTTCTTGTTGGCTGGCAGTTTTCAGTGTCACCGACTATCATAAAATATTCCTCATCTCTTGGTGTCTTGGTGTGTCTTTCTTTCTGTTTTCTTTTTCCAAGTGCAACTAAACTAAATTTAAGCACGTGCTTTCGTTTTGTTTCCTTTCTCCGTCTCCATGTGCTAAGGCAGTTTAATTAAGTTATAATTTTTTAACACTAAATTTGATTTAAAGTTTCTTACACTAAATTGGGATATTTGTTCCTCTACTTTTCCTTTTGCTTGCTTTACAAGTGAAACATTTAACGGAAACATAATTTGAGTTCGTTCTTTGAATTTATTGCCTACGGTTTTATTGGAATATTTATTCTTGTTCTAAATAATTGCTCCCGTTTTCCACCTAAATTGTGCTTACTGTTCTAATGCTCAAAGCCATGTCTATAACTGATTTGTATTAAGGTCTAAATATATAGAGTAAATATAGAATATAGATATTAGCTTACATCACTAAGTATCTAGTGCCAGACATGGACATGTTGTGGATTTCCAAGGAAATCCGGCCCACGGGCACTAAATATTGTTAACTGTCAACTGTGTTTCGCCCGGACTTGTCCGGACTGTTTATCCGGACGCATCCCTCCAACGATAAAGATAATGATAATGCTTAAATCAAAATCGTTTCAAAACGCTTAAGCCTATACATTTTTTCTATATACAATGATATACAGGCGCTCGACTATAAAGGAAACCAAAGAAATAAAAATAAAAAATACAGAAAATATCTTTTTAATATATTGTTTTTATTAAAAATCTTACTAAAAATTAGAAATCATAAAAATAAGAAAGAACTTAGCACGCAAATGTTTCGATTGAAGTTTCTGTACAAAACGAAGTGAAACAAGTCGAGACTTAAAATCGATTTCAAACTGAAACTGACTTCAATATGAGTTAAATTAATAAAAACTGTGTTTTAGGCAGTAAAATGGTTTTGGTTGGTTGTTCAAAAAACTACTGGAATGGGTTATCAGCTTAAGGCTGGGATAGACAAACATAGAGTGAAATATATAAATGATATTAATCAGAGAAAATGATAAAAGACTAGAGAATGTTTAAATTGGAAATGTTTTTTTTTAAAAGTTAGTTAAAGTACATGAAAACTTTCATTTGACCTATTACAAGTTGGTTATTTATTTCTCTTAACTATGTTGAAACTCTTTAAACTTGAATTATGTTTGTGTAAATTACAGCTTATAGGACTGGTTTTTTTTTGCTCATTCTAAATTATTTACATACATATTGGTTTTAACTCTTTTTGTTGTGCTATCTCAGCGACTTCTATGCCTGTCTATCCCAGCATTAAAACGACCTTCTTGCCTCCTTAAATGCTAGACTTTAGTTAATTCGATTTAATAGCTATTAAGTATAGTATTAGTACCATATTGACTTAAGTTGTAGTTCTTTGATTGCTCAACATTGATTCTGACGTTCAACTAATTGCATTAAAGAACTAGGGAAAGTTGGATTTATTGCACTCTAAACAGCATATAAAAATATCTATCTTTTTTTCTGTATTACACTTTAACGTCTGCCTATGTCATTGTTATGCATTATGCAGATTCCGAGAGGCCCCAGTGACAACAGCAACATCAAGAAGCTGCACTCAAAGCTTGGCCCATGTCTGCAGATGTGTCTGCTGATTCTGTAGCTTCTGTAGCAGCTTCTGTCCCAGTGTCAGCCAATGTCAAGTTCAGAGACAAGGACACTTCCTGCTCCTCCTCCTTCTGCTGCTTTTGCTGTTGCTGTTGCTGTTGCACTTGTTCTATACTCGACACAGAGGTGCTGGCCAAGGATGAGCTAGCTTCCTCCTCATCCTCTAGAGGTGCTACTGCTGTTGCTGCTGCTGCTGCTGTTGTCATAGTGGCCATCTCCTCCTCGCTTAGACTACAATTACATGTACAATTACAGCTATCACTAAACGTATGCGCCTTATAATTGCCGATGTTGCCGGTTGCATCATGATTATTACTGATATTATATAAAATATTGTTAGTCGTTGCCGTTGCCATTGTGGGTAACTGTAAACGGAAGGCATTGCTGCGGGGTAGTTGGCGTGTTGCTGCCGTGCTGCTGCTACTGCTATTGCTACTACTGTTGCTTGTGGGATGATGATAAATGATTTCCTGACGTTCATATTCGTTAAAATAGTTCTCAACAACAATGCCGCTTTCTGCTTCTGTTGCCTTGCTGGATGTTGCTGTTGCATCTTCTAGCGTTGCTGTCAACGAAGCCAACGGCGATTGTTGCTGGTTGCTGATGTTGCTGTTGGTGTTGCTGTTAGTGTTGCTGTTGTCAGTACTATTATGGAAATTGGCTGCTCGGGGCACCACATCGGGGGGCGAGGTGCAACGCTCTGTCTGCGGCATATAGTAGTGTAATCGTTGATGTTGCTGCTGTGCTGGCTGATATGGCTGCTCCAATTGCTGATTGTTTCTATGTCGTTGTTGATGTCGCTCATTTCTCAACTGTTGCAGTTGCTGATGTTGCTGTTGCTGTTGCTGTTGGTAATGTTGCTGTTGCTGTTGCTGCTGACGCCGACCATGCCCCCTGCTTTCTTGCCCCTCAATGGCCGGCGTCAGATATTGTCAGAAGATGCCGTCCCAGTTTAATACAACATTGAAATATCAGGACAACGTAAGTCGCCCTCATAATGGCACTAAACCGTTTCGCGTCGTCGGATTTCGGGCCATATAGATGTCCATGTCGTGATCCGTCCAATTGTCCGATGTATCGCAATAGTTGTTCAGCGTATGCGTCGATCCCGCCTGCGAGTACCTGCAATTTGCAATTTTACCAGCCAAAAACTTGTTAATTATATCGATTATATCAGAGATTCACTAGTGCAATACTAACGCATTGCCCAATGCGTTTCGTTCTGCTGTTTGTTGTTGTTTAATAAAATGCTCGAAACGAAGCGAAACGCAATTAAAATTAATGGAATCATTGGAAAATTCACACAACGGTCTGTGGGTTAGTGGTGAAAGGAATGCATGTACACAATGTAGTTACAGAATTTTTTTTTTTTTTGTACATGAATGAAAGTTTGATTTGATTGCGGCGATGGATAGTTGCCAATCAAGGCTGAAAATAAAGCTCAGCGAGGAAGTTGTTCGAAAGTATTTTTGGTTTTAAGCTCAATAAAGTTGGTTTACTGCATCGAGATATTAAATGGAAATTGTAATTACTTTTAAATGGGTCAGTGGATTACATTAATTACTGTTGTTAATAAAAAGAATATCTTTTGGTTAGGTAGGAGTATATAAAGAATAGAATCCAGTCAAAAATTATCTAAAAGTAGACATCTAGTCATCATGTTTGGTATAAAAAAGTTCAAGGTAAAAATATATAAAAAATGGCAAGAAATAGCCACAGAAAATTGATAAACAACCGATTCATTAATCAATATTTTTGTATTTTTCCCACGTTTTTTGAGAACCCATCGCCGAAAGAAATCTTTGTTCCCGTGTTAAATTTGACATTGAAATTTTTTTTTTAGGAGACGGTTTCTAATAAATCAAAGTCGCCCCGCCCCATGCATATAAAAAAAAGTTAATTAAATTAATGACCAACGAAAGACGTAAACCATTGAATTAAAAAAAACTTTCAACGCCAAAGTCGAAAACAAGAAACATAAAAGAAAGAATTGAAAGTGTAATTTGGGATGTGTGATTTGTGATCCGTGATAATAGTCTTAAAAAAAAAAGATCAAGAGTTTCTGACTTTGAGTGGGTGTGAAGTCGTTTTAATTTAGTTTGTTTTGTGATTTCATTTGTTTTACTGACTTTTTTTGTTGCGATGTTCTACTTACCGACTTCCCGGTCGATGGTTATGTATGTGGGTGGCGTTCAGCTGTTCGCGTGATCTGGATCGCGGTCGCGATCTTCGGGCGCTAGAGGCAATGCTTGCTGGTCCGCCACCGCCCACCATACCGCTCATGGCCATCAGACTGCTAACGGGCAGTCCATTGCCACCATTACCGTTACCATTGCCGCCAAGGCCACCGCCTCCTCCATTTCCGCCTCCATGTATTGAGCCCGCATACGATGCCCGGGACATTCGTTCCGAGGCAGCGGCCAACGATTGCCGGGATTGTCGCAATTCCGGCCTGGAATTTACCAAATTCGATGGGAAGGCACTCCCCAAATAGCCACGATGCGAATTATTCGAAAAACTGTGCTGCGACTGTCCATCCGCCAAGGATCTACTGTAGTTATGCATGTTCGTGTGTGTGCGTGTGTGTGTGTGTTTGTTGGTTTATGTGCGTGTGCATGTGTGGAATGCATAATCAAACAATGAAACAATCGAAACGAACGAAATAAATCATAACGAAAATAAACGAGAAGGCTTTTTTGTAAAAAAAAAAAAAAAAGGAATGCAGCAAGCTCGGAATGCAGGGCAAGCAAATGTTTGGTTCGCCGTGTGGATTGCTGAAGGTTGGACATCGAATACCGGAGGGGGATTACTCACCTTGATTTGCCCACTTTGCCAGGCATTCCGGAGAAGTGGCTACGCATATCATCTGGCTGTTCTACTGGATAGATCCGGGGTCTTGGTATCGAACGACCACTGTAGGCTGACACTTGATCCCATTCCTAAGGAAAATAAGAAATCAGAAGAAACGATTAACCATCTCTTTTACTTGATTGATGATACGTTGTTTCTTTTTTATAAGGGAGTTCCTTTAAACTCCTCCTTGAAACTTAAAACCACTTTAACTACTTAACTAACTCTTAACAGCTCTCCATTTCATAAACCCAATTAAGAATTTTCACCTCACATATCTCACTAATCAGTTATTACTTTACATGAAGATTTAGAGCAAAAGCAGCCTTGCCAAAAAACTAAACAAAAGATGGCAAATCTGTAACACTTTTAGTATTTATCTTAGCTGTGCTCCATTTAATTTGTTGTCCTCCATAAATACAATCAACAGTCATCAAATCGCGTCGCTGCCAATTTCCCGTAGTCATGGTCTAACCATCCGACATACCCCATTCCTATATAGCCAACTATCTGACAATCCGGACAGCCAGTCAGCTAGTCAGCCAGTCAACCAGCCAGCCAGCCATTTATATAGTTAGTCAGCCAGCCGGGAGCCAGAAGTGGCAACAATTTCTTGGCAAGCTTCTCTACCAGTTAAGCCAACAGGGGTTACGGAGTGTCTTGGCGGAGGCGGGGCTGGGGGCAACTCTACTCACCTTGTGATTGTTAAATGCCGATAGCGTTGCAATGGAGCCAAGTGGTCCCGGTGAACCGGTCGGACCGCAGCAATTAACGGGCAGACCTCCAATTGGCAGCGGGCTCTTCTGCTGGCTGTTCTGCAGTTTGCGGGAGCGTCTGCAAGAAAAAAAAAAAAGAAGATTTAGTTTAAGAATGAAATAGGGGTCTTAAATACCCTTGCCAAAGAAATAATTGCATCATTTATCTTCTAACAATTAGTGAAAATTGGATTTTCTAATCCTTCACTGAAACGTTTCTTCAAGTTAATTAGAGGCTTAAAGAAGTGGGTTACGAATTTAAGACCTTTCCAAAGCTCTTTAAACTTAAGACTATAACTCTGAGTTTAACCATTAAGTGTAGAAAGTAAAAATATATAACTAAAAGGTAAAAAGTGGAGGCTTTAAGTGTAGTTTTAGTTTAAAGGCTAAAAGTCTTTAAACTACTTTAAGCCTTACCAAAGTTTGTTAAACATCCAACAAAAATTACAATAACCTTCTAAAGAGTATATCGAGGTTACAGTTCAAGATGATGAAGTGTGTAGATACTATGCAGAGCATAAAGCGTAACAAATTCTACGCAGTACCTACGATGGGGCAAAAATAGACTGTATAGAAAAGTGGGAACGACTTAAGGACCTTCGATAAATCAGCCAGCCACTTTGCACAGCAATTGGCTTTGTCCGTGGCTCAGTTGTTGGGTAATAACTCTTTAGATAAAATGGAAAGGAGCGAAATCTGAGGAACTAGAATAGGTATACATAGGATAGGAACCCACCTGCTGGCAGCAATGAAGACAATCACGGCCACAATGATGGTGCCACAAATAGCCGCACTTGCTGCAATCGTTATCTTGTCCATATTGGAAGCCTGCGAGGCAACAGTCCGAACTTCTCGACACTGTTGATAGGGCACAGTTTCTGGGGTCACATGCAGTTCTTCCAGCGAGATGACGCACACAATGATGCACTCCTGAGCCGGAACATTCTTGATCTTGAATTCACGTTCACTGGACTCCAATGGTGGTCCCTGCTTAAAGGCCTTCTCACCGAACAGTCGATATACAACACGGAATCCAAGGATATTCGCTGTGTCCGAATCCCATTGGATGATCACGGAACTATCCTGACGGAAAGCGTGCTTCACCTGCACTTCATTGGCATCGTCGATTCGAGTACCCCTTTGAGGTGGATAACCTAGGACCAGTGGCGGCCTTTGTGGCTTGTGAAGACCTCCTGTGCCTGCATTATTGCTATTGCCATTGGTCACTCCTTGTCGCCATCCGGGTGCCTGTTTGCCATTTCCATGACCCGTGGATGTGGATGAGGAGGAACTGCTGCTTGTGGTGATAGATGTAGCCTGAACTGTGCCTGTTCCATTGACAGAGAGATTCGAAGCTGGTGATGCTGTGGTGGCTGATGTCGATGTAGTTGACTTGGTGGGTAGACGAGTCTGTTAGAGAGATTTTAAAGATAGAGAAGGAAATATTAATACTAATGAATTCGAGTTTAGGATCCTCATATTTGGATTATTAATAACATATTCGAAGTAGTCTTTTTCAACACAAATTTTATGTTTTAAATTTACCATAAAATGTTTTCATATTAAACGCGAATAATTTATTAAAAAGGAGAATGAGTTAAAATTTATTTGATTTATCTGACAAAGTGTCGCTGAGGAACCGCCAATGTACGGACACTTTATGCCACCATGATATACTTCTCTTCGGTTTTATATATTTTTTTTATTTTATTTTTCCCTCAATTATTAAGTTAACGATGCCTCCTGGTTTTATCACCTGCCCACTCACCGTGCTTCGCCTGGTCGTTGGCTCCGTTGTGGTTATCGTTGTGGTTGTTGTGGGTGTCGTTGTTGTTGAAATGGAGCTGCTGCTCACACTGCTGGTCACCGGAGCTGAGGCTGCTGTTCCAGTGCCCACTGTACCCGTGCCAGTGCCCGTGCCCGTGCCTGTTTCATATTCCACGGAATCGGGGGAGGAGGGTAGCGTTGGCTTCAGGTTATCGGCCAGGCCGACGGGTCCCCGGAGGGCGGCATCGGCAATGTCCGGACAACTCAGCTCCTCTGGTTGAATTGAGTAGAAGCCTCGGTCCCGGAAACGTGGTGGGGTGCCACAAAACTGGGGATTCCGTTCGCGAGATGTAACCTGGAAAGGGAAAGGGAAAGTTGGCAAGTTAATGAAACGAACGTTAGCAAGTTTGCAAAAGGAACCAATCGGAAGTGGGCCATTTGGCAAACAAGTTTTATCAGGGAAAACATAAAAAAATGTGAGGTACTAAAGGTCTGGCACTGAATTGAAAATTGTCATTTGATTTTCATAAAAATATTAAAGAGGGAAAAGATTGTTGTTTGGATTCCTAACTTTTAGATTTTCCCTTAACCTGTTTTTCCTTAGAGACTTTGTAGACTATTCTATTATTCCATTCATTCATTCACTCACCTGCAAGTCACCATTCCGTATCCACTCGGCCACCCATCGCAGCTTACAGTCGCAGTGGAGAAATCTGCCTCCGAGGGAAAGTCCACGCAGTGTGGCATTCAGATGGGCAAAGGCGCCTTCGGGCACACTGCTCAGTGGATTTCCGTCCAAGGCTAGCAGTGTGATGCCCGGATTTCCCCGGAAGGCAGCCTCCGGTAGAGTGGTCAGCAGATTGAAGCCAATATCCAGGACGCGAAGCTCCTTCAGCGAATGAACAGCACCAATGGGAAATTCGGCCAGCAGGTTGTTGAGCAAACTCAATGAACTCAATGTTTTCCGAACACCTGCAAATGCTGTTTCACCAATGCTCTGGATTAGATTCCTTTCCAGATTCAAGGCAGTCAAAGCATCAAGCCCGTCGAAAACTCGTATACCACCCGATCCAGGCAGCTCTTTGATGCCATTCTGTGAGAGATCGAGAAAGGCCAAGCTCTTTAGACCCCTAATACTCTCTGGCACCTTTCGTTGTTTGGTTCCCTTCAGATTTAGGTTCTTGAGACTCTGTTCCAGTCCCCTAAATGCATTGCTAGCCAGGGTAACATTATTATCGTTCAACTTTAACGTTGACAGCTTTGTCAGACCCACAAAGGCATCGTCGGGTATGTGAGTGAGTTGATTTTTTGACAAATCCAACAGGTTCAGTTTGCCCAGAACTTTTAGTGCCTCCACTGGCACATCGGCCAGTAGATTATCCTGCAGATTGAGATTCCGCAAAACTGATTCCTGCCCCTTGAAGGCACCCGACGATATCCTCTGAATGCCACAGCTTGAGAGTTGCACATTGTGCAGGCTCAAATTGCTGAAAATGGCCTCAGGGAGCTCTGAAATCGTGGAGTTGTTGACGTACAGCAAATCCACTGGCTTCAGTCGTGCATGAGTGTTCATCGCCTCCAGAAGTTGAGGAAAGTCCACCTGAAAAAGGAGATAAAGTAAAGTAAAATACACCGCTTAATAAGTGGTTAAGGTTTTTAGGTACTTAAGGGATTGTTTACCAGGATTTCTACTTTAAATTTTTGAAAATTAAATTAACTTTAAGATGCTTTTCTAATAAATTTCTATCGGCAGCAACTCTCTCACCTGATCACATTGCACGGATAGCTCCCTGCCCAGATTGTAGGCACAGATGCAGCTTGTCTGCAGGTCAGGCACATCCCTCTGCCAAGGACACTGTGCGTGGGCCAAGTCGACCCTACCCAGGATTAGTGGAAGTAGCAGGAGCAGGGGCGTGGTCGCTGCTGATATAGCTTTTGTCGTTCGGCCTGGTCTCATCTTGGTGCCGGCATAGAGCTGCAAATAAATGGTAAAAGAAAAAGAGAGAGAGAGAGAGAGTGAATCTCATGGCTCAATGAAAAAGTGAAGGTTGTCTAGTCCAGTCGGGCCATAAATTACCCAATTAATACTGTCGCCTGGCAGGCAAATCTTCAAACCCTCCCCCTTGTTCTCTAGTTTCATTCAATGGTCAAGATGGTCAAAGCTGTGGGATTTGGGGTGGGAGTTTATAAGACAGGAAGGTGCACAGAGAGAAATCTAAAGCGATATGATTTTAATCAAAGAATTTTCTGTTGATTTTTTCTTTATATTTCATAGAATATCCCAAGGTTATAGGTTTATGAAAGGCAATCTATTCTTTTTTTATTATCATAATTTCTAACATTTTTTCTAACTGCATGAGAAGTTGAAGTGACCCGGCTTTATCAATCAGTTTTGGCATGGGCTACTTTCAATTTCATTTTCATGCTCGTTAGACAACAAACAGTGCGTGAAAGGAGAGCCCCAACCTCCTTCTGATCTGATCCTTGGGGCAGTTTAGTTTTGATTAATTTGCCCGTCTGCCTGGCTGCGCCTGTCAAACGAGGTGCTTCACTTCCCAGTCACTTTTCTCGCTTTTCGTTACCCACTCCTCTTGGCACCATAAAATAGGCATAAAAACCTTAACTTGTTGGCCAGCGAAAGCAAGACATAGCGAAAGTAAATCCTTTTTTGCATCCCTTTTTTTGAGGGACTCTTTTCTCGAAACCACCGAAAAAAAAGTGTTACGCGGTGCAGCTTTTTGTTGGCCATTTAATTTAATTTGGACAACTCATAAAAAAAAGCACGTGATGTTCCCCACTTTTTCACTGGTTAACCAGCTTCCATTTGCCCCTTTTGTCAACCCCTTTTAACCCCTTTTTTGCAACTCTTTAGTCAGCCATGGCAAACAATGGCCGATGACTTAAGGGTCAGCAAAGAAGCTGTTGACCTTTTTGCATAATCATGAGTTATGATGACACACAGTTTTTGTTTTTCTTTGGCTCCTTTCTTTCACTTTTTCGGTTGTTATTGTTTGAGACAATTTTGTATTCTTGCAGATCATTGTTATATAATGTGATTTGAAGCAGAAATTTCAAGGGGTAAAAGAACAGGTGAATAACCTTTTATAAACAAAAGAAACTTGAAAATAACAAAAGATGTTTAAAACTGTTAAGTTTATATTAATAAATCAAATTTATGGAAATAAAAGATAAGAAATTGTGAAACAAAAATGTTTCCTCATTTCAGTTTTGTTTAGGAAAACGATTTCAATCTTTTCGTGATCTAATCAATCAATTTAATCAATTTTACTTGTACAAATTTCCCATATAATTTCCATTCAAATCAAAACTTTATGGAGATTTTACTCTGTTGCAAATTCAAGTTGCCTCTGCAAGTGGCGGATAAACCGCAGAATAATAATTAAACTGCACGCTTCGCTGCATTCCAAATAATAATCAACATTTTGTCTTTTGATTGATAGTTTTTTCTTCATCTTGCCAGCTGTGTCACGCCTCCCTGAATCCAAAAGATATAATATATATCGCCTCAAGGGAGAGGAGAGCAGGAGGCTGCTGAGGTTGATATTTCAATTGCCCGATGCGCCTGACTTCATTTTTCATGGCATTTTGGGCTGTCTCTTCCTTAATTCAACTTATAAATTGCATTACGTGGCTAAAACCGAAACCAAAAAAAAAAAAAAAAAAAAAAAACCAAAGGCAGAAAGATATTTCAAGCTCCACTGTGCATTCGCCAGCTCTTTCTCTTATGGCTATGGACCTATGGCTGGCTGGCTCATTTCTCGTTCCTCATTTCTCATTTCTCTCACTCAACTGTCTGGCCACAAATTTAATTAAAAAATTCTTGCACCATTTTATTCCCTTTCTTTTATTCGCTTCCAGTCGCCTTTTGTTGTTTTTCTTCTGCGTATTAATTGCATCACTAAATTTTTTAATGCGCGAAAAGTGCGAAAATTGCAGCTGGAAAACAAAGGAAGAACTACTGCAGCACAGCCACTGGCTGAGTGAATAAATGAAAAACGAATCAAGTACAGTTGTGAATCGAGAAAAAATGCAACTTAAAAAATATATATAAGCTAATAAGTTACTTTAAAAAAATACTCTTTAAATAATATTTCAAAATTTAAATAGTTTTTGGCTGGATTACTTTTTATAAAATATTTTTAGCTTGCCTTAAAAGATTTCTTATAATTTTCTACCACTAATAAATATTTATTTTAATTATTTTTTATTTAAAATAAATCTTAAAGTAGCCTAACCTTTTTTTCTGACATTTTTAAACTCCTCCCCAGGGTTTCTACAAAAAATGCAACTTTTTGTCTTCCCACCCGAAAAACTTGAAAGGTGCAAATGATTTTTCTATCCCTCTCACCTAGTTGTTGTTTCTTTTGTTGTGGCCGCATAATTATTCACTCTTTTTTTTATATATTTTTTTTTAGAAATTTTTTTTTGGTGGTCGCTGGTTTGGCAAATTTGCATTTTTAGACAATGGTCGAGCGGTTAATTTTTTTTCTTTCTGTTTTTGTTTTGCTTGATTTTTTTCCATCCACCTGCCTTTTGGGCCAAGTTGGGCAATCTTCTGCTCCCATCACACACACACACAAACACACCTCTAGGCACAAAAATGTTTTAATTGAAGTTTTATTTAACAAAAGCCGGGGAGTACTTCTTGGGGGCGTGAATTTGGGGCCGGCTCTGGGTGTCTGGGCTTAAGGTCGCATAATGCTGTTAAGCATTTAAGTGGATTAGAATTTCTGAGGTTGAAAAAAGTGAATTTGGTTTTTTTTTTAAATTTTTTTGTGGGGAAAAGTTGTCAATTGAAAAGTTTATATATAGATGGGATTATGTATATATATAGAACTGGTTGGTTGGATTTTGGGTTTGGAAAGCTGAGGTGTGGGTGCGTAGGTTGATAATCTTTTGGGTCAGCTTAGTCAGAGAAGTTAGCACAAAATTGGGTTGCTGTTTGAGCTTGGACCGATGAAGTTTGAAGCCCTTTTTTCTGGGGCATATTAATATTGAATTAACTTTTACCTTTACGAAATTAAGAGTGCTTAAAGGGGTTCCGCAAATGGGATATTGAAGGGTCATTTGATGGGCTTAATAAGTATTTCAAAATAACAAACAAAGCTGCGATTCTAAAATAGCTACATATTAAACCAGGCTCTTAGAATAATCCAATAAATTCCTTGATTATCTTTGTCTGCTAAATAAAATACCCTTAGCCTAAATCCCCTTTTAAATATTCCAGCTTTTGTCGTGTCATTTTGGCTGTAAGGCCAAAAAAAAACAATTTCCATTTAACCGCAGCTTATCCTTCTGACCATTCAAGTCGTCTAAATTGTTCTCTTGGCCACACAAAAATAAACGTAACTCGGGCTAGTTTATTGGAGCATTTCATGATGATGATGATGATGATGGGAATGGCGATAGGAAGAACCCAGAACCCAGGAAGCAGAAAACATAGACATAGAATTAATGACTTGAAGCTCATTTGATGTTTTTATTTTACTACAACTTAAATAAAAGTGTCGAGTAGAGATGGTCAAATGCTTATAAGAATGGACATTACCAAGTGACCAACATTAGGCCAATAAAAGCCAAAAGCCATTTGTCAGCCAGCTAAGAGTATCCTGCAGCATTGTTGACTGCAACTTTAGCCACTTTAAAAACCTTTTAAGCAGCTGCTACTGCTTCTGCCTCTGCTCCTTCCCTGCAGCTGTCCACGCAGTCACTAATAAGGCAACTTTTATGCAAATGCCAAGTGCAGGAGCTCTAGGTTTTCCACTACTTCTTTTTTTTTTGGCTTGGCCAACATCCGCTGTCGTGGTCCAAATAACTCACTTCCCCCCTTAATGCAGCACATGTACCCAAACACTCTATACTCTATACTCTTAAAGTTCGACGAACTCTTTGGGCTGAGTCACCTCCACTTCTCAAGCTCATTGGCTATGCAAGACCAGAGGGCCACGCACGCGTTGACAGCCATGATGAGCGTGAATATCAATTGGTTTAGCAGGAGGGCAAATGGGGGATAGATACACGATACACGCCCATAGTTTTGCCACATATATGCATGGCAGCTTGGACGAGTGCCCGCTTATAGCCGCCTTTGTCGGGTTTATTGTCAAGACACTGACTGACTGAGATTGCCTCGAAGAATGCTGCTGATATGGCCATGAGGCGGAGGAAGATTTGGCCCAGGTAATATAGAAGCCAAGACAGTCATGAAGAGTTGAGATTAAGATGCAGATGAAATCTTTAACGTATAATACTCAACTTGAATACTGCGATTCGAGGAAGTGAATTCTGATGCTGAGAAGTAATAGTAATCTAGATTATGACTTTGACTGAGTAACTGAGTTGATTTATAATAAAAGAAAATGCAAATTTAAGTTTAATTTTTGAAGATAAAGTTATAGACTGGAAAGGAAAAAGCTATTTGAAAATAAACTTAACTTTAACTAGCAAAAACAACCAAAAATAAATCTAGAAACTAGAATCTTTAACACCATTAACAAGATAAAGTGGAAGATTTAAGAAGTTACTTAAATCAAATAAAGCATAAAAATAGAACTAAAACAACATAAGCCTAATTAATTAAGTGAATGTATAAACACCTTTGCTTCTTCTCAACATGCTAACACCTTCAATTCCTCTGAATTTCCTCCAGAATTTCCTCTGGCTTTCCAGACACGCGCACCTGCCTCCTCCATCAGAAGCTTCAGATGCTCAACGTTTGCGTGGAACGTCGCGTGCAACGGGAGGCGAATAGCAAAAGAAAATCCGAGGGGATGGCAAGAAAAGCCAGCTCATTCGATGCGGAAGAGGAGGAGGATGATGAGGATGACGACGAGGGGGAGTTCTTTGATTGTGATGATCTGACTGCCGGTGCTGGTTCTCCAACGAAAGCTGTTCTTAGTATGAAACCCGAGGGTCGATTGCGGCGCTTGAATGACGAGCGATTGCTGGAGGAACCCGAGGAGTATCTTTATATCCCAGAAACACAAGATCCTGTTCCCAAAACCGAGGATCAGCTACAGGATGATGCTGAGGTTATGCTGAAACTGGGACCTGGTTCTGGTTTAACTACCCAAATGATGTGCACTTCCTTGCTTTCTGATATGGAAGCGTTTAAGGCTGCCAATCCCAGGGGAACAATGGAGGATTTTATACGCTGGTACAGTCCGAAGGATTGGGAGGAGGTCACTGATGGTGAGAGTTGGAAATCTTTTAAAGAAACTTAACTTAAATATATAATCTTTTCTTCTAGAACTAGGTCAGGTTACTCATCAGTTGAGTATACGGATGACCACTGAGGGCAATACCTGGCAGAAGGTATGGGAACAAGCTCAAGCGGTTCCTGTAAGCAGACAAAGAAGACTCTTCGACGACACCAACGAAGCTTTGAAAGTTCTTCACTATATGGAGACTAGAAAAATGCACGAAATCTACAATTTGACCATAATTCCCCTACTGCATTCGGCTATACTAAAGCTAATAGTACTTAATTTTTAACTTTATAAGTTAATCTTTATTAATATAACATCTCTTTACAGGACATTCTTAGCAATGCCAAGGTGGAGGATTTATTTAGCCCACAGATTGAGCAACTTCTCACCGATCTCTGTCGACTCTCACGCTCTCATTCAGATCAACTTCCCTCGTTTAAGCCATTGTTAGATGACCTGGCCGAGTTGGAACGTCGCTTCTACCAATATAAATGCTTCGAACGGCTTTCGGGTTATCCACAAAAAAGTTCACTTCAGCAAGTCAAACTTCAGTTTGAGGAGATCTTACGCAAGGAGAACTGCTGTACTATTGTTAATAGAAGACTGACTGCAGCTGGCGATGGCACTTTGTATGATATATTGATACCCAAATTGGAGGAGGATATGTCTGATAGGCTGATCAGCAAGGATTATATCATTAGATTGGATGGTGATACTAAAGAGCACAGAGAAGGGCTTGTATTTGGGTCCACAGTTCATGAGGGCCATTGTCACGGGCGAGAAACTGAGACTATGTGGAGCTTTCACAGAGAGCACGGCTTTTGTCTAAGACAAGTTTTGTTTTTTGTAAGGAAATACTTTAAAAATTAATCAATTTGGAAAAGCTAAGCATGACATAATCCTACATGTAAAAGAAAAACTTAATAGAAGGTCTTAGAAATGAGCCTGTAAGAAAGCGAAGAAAATGGAAAAAGCTGGGAAAGACATGCATTTCCTTCTTCAAATTCCGCATAAACCCTAAAAAGTCTTGTAGATTCAAAGTTATTATAAATTTATATAAAAATCGATTATATATTATGCTACTCAAATTGGTGTTATTGGTGCTTTAAAAATAAAATAAAAATTCATAATAATCAAAGAAATTCCAGAATAACAACTTCCTTGCAATCTTTTAGCTTCATCTCCTTATTGTTTCGAGGGAATTGCCCTGTAAGATCTGAGGTCTCATATAATCACATAATCACTTCAGCAGCCGCAAGTCTTGAGGGCAAAAGAAATCCGCATGGAAAATTCCAGTTGAATGACAGGCAAGAAAAGCGAGGAAACCTCTCTTCAGCTACTTTTCCTCAACTAGCAAACTTTGGCCAGGCAATTGCCGAAATGCGAGGAAAATACCAGACTGGGCCATAAGCAAATTGTGGGCCATGTTTAACTGGAATTATTTTAAGCGCACACTTCAACTAGAGGAGCAGAAGAAGAAGGTTGAGCAGTTGGGCCAAGAAATCGCTAGAGAAAAAGGGGCGGGCATCGAGAGAGACAGAGAGACACATAAAACATTTCTCTATTGCTCCTTGGTCTTGCTGGTAATGTTTTCTCCACTAAATTACCTACGGGCAATAATTGTTTTGTGTACATGTCGGTTGTGCCCTGTTGTTGCCTCGTAAACTTTGCAACAATGTTTTCCACCAAACACTACGTTCTCGCCACTCTCTCGCTAGTTTGCTATTTTGCTAACCAAAAATATAAGAGTGTAAAATAAATTTGTATTTACTGCATTTTGAGGGCAGAAATTATGTGAGTGCCTGGGCATTTCGTTGCACTTGCACTCGGTGCTTAAATGCAGGGGATATGCTGCATGTTAGTGCCCAAAACTAACCTGGCTACCACATTCCACTCGCATCCATTTAAAGGCTTAAACTTTCTGGTAATGGGGTGCATGCAGATTAACTTTGCAACCTTATCGCATACTAAATTTCATGTGAGTTTTATGGGAAATAGTTTCAAGTTGGAAAGCTTGTTTTTGGGAAATTGGTAAAAAAAAGTTTAAGTAGTGAAAATTATTCAAGGATTTCTAGGGCTTAAAAAATATTAAAAGCTTAGCAAAATTATGATATGTAATATTTCAGATATCATACATAATTTTTAAAGATTTATCTGAAATTTATTTGCCAATAAACTTTATGATTCTCTCTTTGCTGAGCAATTTCCCCTTTTTTTTTGCTAGTGACACCTTGCAAATGATTTTATGACGCCATCAATCGATCCACCATCGAAGGACCACACTCGATGAATTTATTGTTCCCAGCTTTATGCGTATTCATAACTAGTGGCCATTCAATAAATCAATGAATAAATTGTGCAAACAAAAGTAAGCCAAACATATTTGAAACGATACTCGTATATGGAAAGGCAGTTATGTATTTTATGTACAAAGTAAATTCAATAAAATAATATTGCAAAAAAAAAACCCAAAGAGAAGCTTAATTAAATTCTTGCATTCAATTTGGCATGAAATGGTTTGATTTCGATGAGAGAGTGGGTGAGGGTGGGGCAGTGAAAAGTGAAGTTCGCTTCCAATTGATTTGCTGGCGGTTTTGTGGTCCACCTTCGTTTGTCTATGTTTGTGTGGATGTTACAATCTTGCTGATGCAGTTGAATTTTAATGAAACTTTTCCTCTTTTTTCTCCCGTTTTTGTGGAGAAAATTGAATTATAGCAAACTCACACACACACACACATGCCCCCTCTGAGTAGTTGCTCGTTGAGATTTTCAATTTTCTATTGAACCGACCAGGACTGAGAAATGGAATAAAATGAAAGAAATCTGTTGGATAAAAAAATCATAAAAGTAAAGTCCTTTTCCAGCGTGCAAGGGCGATTGCATTTCTACTCCAAGACATGAATTATTCAGCCAACAAACTGCAATGATAAGCACTCTTCTATAGCCCCTTCTGCGCTCTCATCATAATTTAGCTCAAAAAGCTCTCTCTCTCCCTTTCTACCAAAATTCACAATAAAATATGCAAAAGCCTCGCCAAGTGCCGGAGACCTTAAATAATAATAGGGCATAGTGAGATATCCATGGAAAAGCCGGCAAAGTAAGCCCAGACCCAGCTACCAACGCCGCTAAGCTGCACAAATTTGCATTTTCATTGCTGGAAAAACGAGCTGTAAAAAAGCCGAGCTGAACTGCGGCAGATTATAAGTTTCACAGCTCAATAATTAAAAGTAAGCAATAAAAAGAAGATTGCGATGGAAAATGGTGTGTTGGGGAAAATTTGGAATACTCTTTGATTTTCAAAGAGAAGATTTTAATTTATTTTTAACAACAAAAAAAGTATAAATAATAATATTTAATGTTTATTCCAAAAATATTTAGAATATTAATTTCTGAAGATGTAAATTTGTGTTTATTTTTTAAATATTTTTTATAATTATAATATTATTCAGTTAAGACATTTCCCTCAATAAAAGAACACAAATTTGTTCTTTTTAACATAAATAATATAATAATATATTCCCCCAAAATCAGAGCATCTCCTCTCTTAACAACCTAGACGGCACATGCATGAAAATCTTCCATTAAATGGAAAATTAAGCTTAAATCGTGGCAGAGCATCAACAACAGCAATAACAACAACAAGCTGAGGAGTGGCGACAAATTCAGGTGAAGGCAGGTGGGATTACTCGATGTCTTCTTTCATATTTCCCTGTCAACTGCACCACCAGCTCACCTGTATATATATATCTCTTCTTTATATATATATAAAGCATGTAAATTTGTATATTTGTGAATGCAATCTTGGGGAGCACGCGTCTTAAGCGGCTTATTACAAATTTTCTGTTGTTGTATGCATAAGTAAGGAGATGAGTTTAAATTATGAATACTTGTAGGCTGATTTAAGTGGCTCACCTGCCTGCCCTCTCGCATCATTTCACCTTCCCTGGCTGAGTCTTACGGCACTTGAGTTCTGCCAAAGTGCATGGTAAATAATTGTAATTGAAGATGGCAATTGTTTGCCAGCAATTAGCCTTCCTTCGGCAGTTATACCGATAATGATGTATGCGAAATTTTTGTGTGGGCTGCCACTGATGAACGCCTTCAAACTTTTGTTTTTTTGGTGGCTTCGATGAAGATGAAATCATCTCTTTATATGGCAATATGTTAAACAGGGTTGGGCCATTAATACTAATATTTTTAAAGCCACATCCGCTTGAGTAAGTAACCTTAACTAATATGTGGTTTAAGCTAATCGCTTGATTGTTTTTATTTACCGATTTTAGTAGGATTAAAAGCAGGTCATATGCCTAAAAATGTTTAATTAAAAAGAGAGACAACTTGCGTGGGTTTTATTAAAAAAAAAATAAATAAAATTTATTTTTTAAAAATATCTCATTATATATATTCTCTTTTTTAATCACCTATATTGCTTTATAATCCGTTTTTTATCATTCTGCTATTTGAATTTATTAGCTTTTTCATAAATCAAGCTGCCAATTTGTGTGTCATTAAGTTTTCCGCTCAATTATTTTCCTGTCATACCAACGCAAGTGCAAAACAAATTTAATTTGGTTTGACTGCTTGGGAAATATTACTTTTTCTCGTGTTCAACCGATTTTCCAGTTGCTCAAGTGAAAAACCAAGAGAATCTGCCAAAATGGGATTATTGATATGAGTCTTGTAAACCTTGTTTGTTTGTTTGTTTAGTTGTTTTTTTTTGTCCAGCTCCCCTCTCGCCTGGGGGAGGCAAATATTTGCAATTCGGATGGGAATTGTTCGCTCAGCTTAAAGCTTTAAAAAGTTTGTTAACATCGTATCCAACCTTCTTTGCCAGACAGCCAAGATGAGGACGAAGTTAAGGCTACGCAGATCAACTCATCTGTCAGTAGGTTGCCATGAAAAGGGGCGGTAAGACGAGGGGATGTCTACGGTCCGGGGGCAGACATTTATTAACATGGCTTGGGTGTGGCGGCAGATGCTGCCAGAAAGGTGTTAAGTGGCATCATCCCAGGGAGAGGGGAGGGGGAGGGTGGAAAATGATGATGAAGCGAATCTCACATATCAGCATAAATAAATTTAAGTGTCGAGCAGAGAGGCACAAAGAAATCTGCGTAAATTTCGCTACCATCCGACCGATGTGCCGTGGCATAAATATAAATTACCAGCAAAGACTTCTTCTTCTCTTTTTTCCCCCCCTTATTTTTTAATGATAAAAAATATTGTAAATGTGTGCCAGCGGAACAGACAAAATATTTATGGAAAATATTCGGCGCGTGTCCGTTGATTTTTCTGCCACTCCAACGCCGCTTCTTCTTCATTTTTAATGGCTAATTAAATTGGCAAACCGAAATCAGAAGTTAAAGCTGAAATTGGCCTGCGCCGAGAATTCAATGAAAAAGTTGCCGTTGGCCAACGAATTTGGGCAAATCCAATTGGAAGGGCTGAGGCCAATAGCCGATGTGGACAAATAAAGACTCTCGGTTAGATACGATATGTACTTGTACAGCAACACATATACACAGTGTTGGCCGGGGAAACACTTGGCCTCGCAAACATTTGCGCCAAGTTAACAGCGGTTAGATTTTCGGCTACTGAGTTGGGTTTTGTTGTCGCTTAAACAGCGATGTCAGCGTGAGGGGATTTAATATATAGAAAAATATATAAGAAAAGTTATTATTAAGGAATACAGAAAGAAAAATGGAGTTCTGCTTACATTGTTTTTACAAACATTAGTTTAAATTTTGCTTATTATTTTAGAAACAAATATTCCCCTTACCCCATATTAAACACAAATCAATCCATCAATCAAACCCCATTATAGCTGTTTGTCCCACTTTCAGACACCAGCCACTAACCACCTCATCATAACTCGTTCCATCACTGACCCATTTTCAGTTTTTGCCATTTAAGTTTTTGCGTAACGCCGAACGCACCTTATTGCCAGCTTACCAGAGGCACTTGGCCATCTCTAATAGGAAATGCATTTGGCGATGTTCAAGTAAATTACGTCAGCGGCTTGCCGCACAACCAGTGGTCGAGGCGTAGAGGAAGGGTGAGAGAGGAGGCAGACAATGTGGAATAAGTGCCAGCATGGGTTGCTTAAAACATACAACATTACACAGAGAGAAAAATAGGAGTAACTTACATCAGAACATTCTGAGAAAGAAGTCGAAATGGGGTTAGCCACTCACTCCTTAGACTATGTTTAAAGACATTTAGTTCACTTAAAAGAGTTCTTAACTTTCCATTTTCCCTTTATATTTTCTCTCAGTGTACTGTCTCCCTAGCATTCTATGCGTGTGTGTGCCTTTGCTCCAAATATGGGAACAGAGACAAAATGGAATCGCCGTTGTTGTTGCTGCTGCGGCGATTGAATCCGATCCGTTTGAAAGAGTTAAGTTGAGTTGGCTGGGAACGGGCTTCAATACGAATTGGGTCAACTGGCGCATTTTTGGCCCGAAGAAGAGGAAGCCGAATGGGGCTGATAGAAAAAGAAAAAAAAAAAAAAAAAGAAAAAAGGGGGAGGAACCGACTGCCTAACGGTTAATGTTATTGCGACTTTGCCATTTATCGCCGACCATTGTTCGCCACCAACTGAGATTCCAGGCAACTTGAAGTTGCTTTTGCTTCTGCTAGAGCTTTGTGCCTTTTGGCTACTCTTGCTGTGAGCAAAACGCTTGAGTTGGCTTTTACGACCCATTGTAACGAAAGAAGCTGGTGAAAACATAAAGCCAGATCGGGTATTAACTTCTTCATTGTGCATTTGACCCGAGTGTCAAATGCAAATGCAAGCAAATCATCTCTAATTGTTCATCTCTTAACCAAAGGCGAAGCCGAAGTCATTGCTGCAAAATAATTGACAAGATATGACGATGTGCAATTTATTTTATTGCACAAATGCTTGAAAGGCAAAATGTTACTTGGCTGACAGAAGCATAAAATCATAAATCGTGGCCAAGTGCAATTGACAAATTAAATTAATTTGCTCAAGTGGAAGGACAAACAATTGAGTTAGATTCCCAATGAAGTTGAAGTTTGCATTGAGGGAAAGAATGGAAAAGTCATCTTGGGTTATCACAACAATTTATGCTTTGCTTCTTTACTATAAAAAACAAAATCATAAATCCTAATCAGAAACTAACAAAACAGTTTTAAAACTCATTTTAAAGCCATATTAAGGATCGCTTTAGTGCAGTTGCCAGGCTCAAAAACCGCATAATCAAGTTTTAATTATGCATAAATTGCTGACACACACTTCCAGCAGCTTTATCAGACACTTGCATAATTATATAAAGTTTCACTATGACTTACTTTCCATTTTGGAAAATCCTGTTTGATATTAAAAATTCGCCTAAGACAAAGAAACATTTGAGGCAAACTCAAACAGTCAGGGAAAACTTCAGCAGTTTCTCTGCAAAGTTGAAGGAATGAAAATGACAAGGAGAAGTAGTTCCTGTCCTTACTCTCTCTCTCTTTTTGTTTTAGCTGCAGACATTGTCTTGTTGAGAAATTGCGCATATTTCCGTTTCCGTTTCCGTAGCGATTGTCTATGTATGTGTGTGTGTGTCTGTCTGTCTGGCTTGCTTTTTTTTGCGACCTGAGCTGCAATTTTGGCTGCCTTCCTGTCGCTTGATGTCTGCGCATAATTTAAAGGTATATATAATATAATTTTGAAACATATAAACCGCATTGCAAAAACTCATATAAATGAAACTTTACGTTTTTCAATTTGTAATGAAATATTTGGTGTAACCATGAGTTGTTCGCTCAACAATTTATAAATAACTTTTCAACTTTAAACCGGTTGTCCGACATCATAAAGCTTATAATCTGATGACAGCAAAAACCTGACACTTTTTTTCTTTTAATATTTTTCCAATATTTGGCTGAGACATATTTTATTTTTTTATTGGTCGTTCGTTCAGCATTTGATATTGATGAAATTTAGCTTGGCTATGGGTAAAAAATTTGTTATTTTTGATGGCCACACAAATGGATAAATGTGTTCAAAAATATATATGTGAGTGTTCTCAGGGGATGAGCAAGGGAGGTGTTCAGCTTTCAGGCAGTTCAATCAACATAGTTGACGTTTGGTGTAAAAACCTTTCAAACGCATCTCGCAGATAACCAGGGATTTTCGATATTTTCATGATACCCTACTGGTCGAGGGGTATATATATATCAAGTTAGGCTTAAAGAATGATAAATTATAGTTTTTTATAAGTAATAGAATTTAAAAATCCAATAACTTAATCTTTTAATAAGTATCATTAAAACTTTATGTAAAAATAACCTATTTTTAAAGGTTATCTTTTTTTTTTATTGGTAGTCTTTACTATCCGTGTGAATTTTTACCAATATGTGGCATCCTGTTGACTGACTGCCGACTGATTGCGTATACGCGATGTGACAGTTTGCTGAAAATATGTTGCGTATACGCCCTGTCTACCGTTAGCTATAACATACACTCCCTATGCGAAAATAGTTACATATATAGCCATCTGTCTGTCTGTCTGTCTACCAGAATCAAACCGAATGTGATTTTTAATTCTACAATTTTTGACATTTGCGTTTGCATTTAAATTAGATTTTACGAGGCCACAAACATTGACTACCATCCAATTTTGAGGGCTGCCGATTGCTTCCCAACCCTCACACATTGGGTTAGTTGAGTGGATTGCGTTGCAAGAATGACAAATGGGATTTCCAGACGTGAGTATCTCACAGAATTTGCAGTACTGTGGATGCTCTTGAACAAGGTAACAAAGATTTTCTTTTTTCTTTTTATAACTAATTGAAGCTTAATTTAATAATCAAAAATTGCAATTGAAAGCATGTCTTGTACTGCGGCTTTCGATTCAACTTAATTGCAACATCTCTTTACTCTTACTCCCCAAAACATTTTGCATATCATTTGGTGTGGTTGGTTTTGAAAAATACAAAAAATATAAAAAAGACAACAGAAGCAGCATCATAAAATTAAACTTAATCGTGTTGATGATGTTCATTAAACGAACGCAATCATAATAACTGCCAGGGAAGCAAATATTAAGCACAAAATGGTGTAAAAATTAATTAAGGCCCTAATAGCTGTGAAGCATTTTTTTTCTGTGTTGTGGCCACAAACACGCCGCTTGAGTAAAACGCATTTCGTATTTACGTATTTACCCACACCGACCTAATAATGTATAATTTAAATCGCTTTCTGCGGAGTTTAAGGGAGATTGAGTAACCCAATTTGAGCGATTATAATTAATAACATTATTTTCTTTTATATTCAAGTTATTTTTGTTTTAGCTTTATGACAGCCATAACATTTTGTTTAATGGTTTGATGAAAGGTTAAAGGTTTTCTCTCTTTACAACAATTTTGACTTTTATGTCATTTATCTTTGTTGATATCATAATTCTTACTAAAGCCTGAGATAGAGAAATCTCTCAAATACAAGGCTCTGCTTTTCCCATCAAACCCTTGAGATACTTTTCTATTCCACTTGACCTGCTTGTTCGGTTCAGTTCACATTTTGTTTGAATTTGGAATCTTTTGGTATAAATTCATCGAATCGTTCGAGGGAACTTCCACTAAATTGGAGAACTTTTACACACACACAGTACATCCTTCAACATGACTTTTACCTATAAGGAACTCATAGACGTCGCCATTGGCTCCCCGGAATCGGGTCATGTTAACTTTTATGCTTTGCATGTGTTGCTCACGTGCTTTGCCCAAAGATTGGAGGTCCTCGATGAAGTTGTCGAGCAAGAGGATTACATGGTGGCCAATGTCCGTATGCAGACCAGCCTATGTGAGTAGACTAGCTAATAGTACATATTGGTTTCTTAACTATACTATATACTAAACTGTATTCCTATTTTCTTTTAAGTAACCATGGGTAATACCTCAAAGTTCCGTCTTTTTGCTGGTGCTGATGCCGAAGAGGCAGAAGCCGCTGAGCCAGCGGCTGAAGCACCTGCTGGAGAGGAGGCAGCACCTCCGCCCGCTGAAGAAGCTGCTGCACCAGAGGAACCCGCTGCAGAAGAACCCGCTGCAGCAGAACCCGCTCCAGCAGAACCTGCACCAGAGGAGCCCCCGCCGGAGGAAAGTGCTCCGCCAGAAATTGGCGCCGCAACACCAGAGGCAGTGGTTTCCATGCACGAAGCGGTTTACGAGGAACCACCGCCTCCGGAATCTCAAACAGAATCAAAAGTACAATTGGAGCAATCCACTGATGGCAAGGCAGATGAGTTGTTTCCACAGGCATCAAGGGTCTCGTCAAGGTCCTCCACTCGCGACAGGCGACATGAGGGCTCGGTTATCAATAACTTATCACGTCTCGAAAGACGTCTCTCGAAAGTGGAACTGCAAAAGGAGCAAGCCCAAATGGAGGTCCAACAATTTCTTAGCGATTTGACCTCTCAGCTTAAGGTCACCATGGAGCAGGTGAACAATGTGACCCATCTGCTGATCGATCGAAAACCAAATCCGCACAGGATAAAGATGCTCCGTCACATAGCCAAGCAATTGAGGGTCCTGATGGTAAATACAGCCGATGAGGTTTCGGTAAGTTGGTCAAGTGGTGAAATTATGGGTGCCGAAGAGGAGGAGGGTCTCTCCGAAGAGGAAATGCCAGAAGAGTCCAGTGCGCCCACCGAGGTGGAGAAACCCGAGGAAGAAGAGGATTTGGGCTTAGAGCAGACCCTATGCTATTCACCAGAGAAAATGCTGAGTGAGTTGCTGGATTTGAAGACACAGTTCTGTGCCTTGACCAATAAGGTCAATGAACTGGCGGCTGCCCTCCTACAACAGGACTCCCAGAGACTGATGGACATGATGAGAGATCTTTCGGATACAGTCCGAGACATCAAGCTCTATATGGCCAGCAATAAGGAGGCCACCAACACTATGATGATTCGCCTTAATGAATGTGTTATTCAGATACAAGTCTTGAAGAAGTCTGCTTCCCATTTGGATGAGGTGAAGATGGACAAAACCGAGGTGGAACTTCTGCTGGCCGAGAAGGTGGACTTCCAGCAACTGGCCACCAAAGTATCACTGGAACAGCTCGAAGAATACAAGGCCAGATTGGAGCAGATGTTTTGCGAGGTGCGGCACATTGTCAGCTTAAATGAGAAGAATGTCCTGCAGATTATCGATAATCTTCGAATGACCCTGGGCATCGATGCCTTGGAGCTGAGTCTCAAGGACTTCCGGGAGATGATTGAGCGCAAGGTGCACATGATAGCCGAGGCATTGCAAAAGTACATGGAGATGACCAATGATGATTGTGCTGCCGCCGCCGGCAGGGTCAAGGTTATGCAAGATTTGGCCTGCCTGGCCTGCGATACCACCTGTGTTATGCGAACTGTGGAAAGATCTAAGGTGCCATCCTTGCCAAATGCTAAGGGTTCTACTGGTCTGGGCCCCATTGTCGCCTATGAACTGGGTCAGATTCGTAAGTCTGGCATTATGGGTTACTATCGCAAGGACGAGTTCCCCCATTCGCCAAGTGCCTGGAACAAAGGTACCCCCGGCGTTCCCATGGTCAAGTGTACTCCTAGGCATGCAGGCGGTAGTCATACCATCCATACCGCCGATGAGCACATGCAGAAAGTGGTGCTGTCCAAGAGGAACACTGGATGGAAATAGGTTCTTAAATATCTTGATTTAACTTATAACTAAGAAGTTAAGGTATCACGTTTTTTGGTAAATAGACAAAATTAAAGATATTCCTGTGATATGGAGCTTATAAAAAATATTAAAATAATTAAATATAATAAAAATTGAAATTAAATAAAAAGAAAAAATAGTGTTAAACGTTAACTAAACAATATTAAGAACTATTTTTGTGAAGAAAAGAATTTTATGTCCATGAGTTGGCAAGTCTAAAATTTTTTTAAATATTCTCCGCAAATGAGGATATTAATTATTTAATAGAAATTGAAATTTATTCTTTGCATTATGAAAATTGCAATCAAACAAATTGCGAATAAATTTGCATTCAATTTTTGGTACTTTAAAAACGAGAAATATTTTTGGTTTGCAAATATTTTGAATTAAATGATATACAAAAAGTTCAAAGACCTTAAAACACACTTAACCCATTATATTAAAAATAAAAATCAAATTTAATACAATTCATATGTAATATTTATGATTTATAAGTGCCCTGCCAATAACAGTTTACACAACTCTTTGCAAATTTGCAAATATTGACGAGAAAAGCTTGCCCTGCAAAAATAATTAATATGCAGAGATTTCCTCCCTGCTAGATGGCCATAACCTCATATATATTTTAATCTCAGGACACAGAAGAACACTACACTTTAATATTCATTGCATCATCGTATAATACCATAAGAGAATTAAATAAAATATGTTGACTGTAAGCGATTTATGTTAATGGACTTTTTGGCCAAGAGCATTAATTTTCAAGTTTCGATGCCTGTGTGCGACACTTTGAAATTATCATCGATTGCACTTTTTATTTTTACTGTGAGATTTTAATTGACGCAGTTACCTGAACACCACCATATACTATATACTATAAACTCGTCTATATATATTTTTTAAAACATTTATTTTCGCTTTGCGCGGCTCATTTAAATTTGGCTTCGCATTGCAGGAATCGAGGCGTGCTTGTGGCAGCGATTGATAAACATTTTTTATTGTCCAGATCTGGACTCAAAATGAATGCCCCGAATGAACTGTCACGGGTCGTTTTAATAGGCTAACGATTAAATGCATAAATTTGCCATAAATTGAAAAGAGTAAACGGTTACAAAACATGCCAGGAACAAACATAAATAAATTCTTGTTAAAAATGCAAAAAATAAAAGAATGCCACAAAAACTGTCATTTATCCTTTATTCAAATGTTAACTACAAGGGCGGACTTCCTTCAGCATAAATTTTAAATTATTCAGCATATTAGCCAGATGACATTTACATATTGTATATTAATAATTGAAATGCGAATATTTTTACATCATTACCATAAGATTGTTTTTCCAGAAAACTACACCAAATGAGCCAAAAAACATTTGAAAAGAATTTGAAAAGTAGCCATCGTTAGCATACCTTTTAAGAACACTTTTGCTGCAGCAAACAACTTTCATTTGAATGTTTTTAGTTCCCTTAAATGGTGAAAACAAGTGCTCGGCATTAAAGCCACACGTAAGTGAACGTTCAAATTAATTAGCAGTGGCATCAAAGCCAGCTGAATGAAAAAGAGAGACAGAGGCAACGAAATTTTAATGGAAACAGGTCAGTGCATAAATTGCAAGTAAAACGGGCGAAGCCGGAAGGCGAAAAAAAAGGCCAAATGTAAACAGAAATGGACTAAGTTGGCAAATGGCAGCAATAACAGCGAATGGCAGTAACTATGAAAACAGATTTACATAGAGAAAAATATCTATTTTAGATATTACAAAATGTTAAAACTTCGATATTTTTTACTTTGTTTCTCATTACTTTGCAAATATCCCCTAAACAAATTGCAGTGTGACCTTGCCTTGTAAGGGAAAAAATATCATGCTGCCGCATCTTACCTCTTAAAACCATCTTATTTCTTTCTAAACTTTTTCTCTGCATCGATGACCGGGCCAAAGGCGGCAATAACGTCAACTGCAACTTCATGAATTGTGCAATGGACACCGCAGAAAGGGGCAAGAAAATAAGGCAAACAGAAAGGAAAACAAAGACATCGGGCAAATAAATTAAAATGCAAATTTAAACGAAAATGAGTGTAAACAGTAAACACTTCAGATTGGGGTCTGAGTGCAAGGCTAAGACGGAAGTCTCTCGATCTCGACATCGTGGAAAGCAAAAGCCAAAAACCAAATCACGGAAATGACCCAAAAAAAAAAAGAAAGAAAAAAAATAGGTAGAAGACAGACACCGCTGCGGCATGGGAAGAAGATGTGCCATTGTTGTCGCCCTTTTGAAGGTCACACTTGGAGTGGGCGGAAAATGTAGAAAAGTGCGGTTTGAGGGGGCCTGAGGAAAGTGTTGAGCTTGAGCCAAATTGTTGAGCCAATTTCCACGTCTCACTTACCCCATAACCAACTTCGATTGCGACACTCTGTTATCTCTGTGCGAATTCCCAAGCCCCACTAACTTGTCGCTTTAAAACTTTGTAGACTTACCTAAAAAGTAAAAGAAAAATTCATATTTAGTGATAAATATTAAAAGTTAAATAATGTTAGCTTTATGATTTCCAATGGCAAAAAGGTAAAATAGTGTTGGATACGATTTAATATTATTTATGGCATGTGGAAAAGTAGAAAAAAACATAACCCGCATTTCCATTTTGCGGTTTTTGTACTTTTTCCCCCAACAGGCAACAGGAAAAGTTTTGTCACAAAATCCTCTCATTTCTACACAAAACTCAATGGAAAAGTTCTTTTGTAACTAAATGCTGATAAACAAATAAAAATAAAAGACAAATAATTTGTGTAAAATGTTTGCGGTTGAGCAAAGTAAAAAATGTGACAAATATTTGTAATGGAGAAGTTGAAATCGGTCAAAGAAGTGTAAATAAAATACTTCCAGGAGGGGAAAATGGGTGGCTAACTTTTATACATAATACTGATATTAGCTGGATTTTCGACTGTTAAAATAGGGCAAGTTAAAATAAGCCAATTTAAGGTTTTTGGTTAAAGCTTAAACAAACTTATCAAATCTATTTGGTAGTTAAGTAATCTACCTTAACCTTTTTGCTTTTCTGATTCTCTGATAGAATAAGTAATAAAATTTTTAAAGGAAATACAAATATCAAAATTTTAAGAATTTCACCCACAAACATCTTGAAAAAACAATAAACAAATACAAAGATAAATCAAACCAATCTAATGAAAAGAAATTCAAAGTTCCCTCTCTAAAAAAAATAAATCAATATCGCAGCTCAGCAGGGCAGCTTACATAAGCAAACCCAAACATTCTCACATATGCGAAATCGTTTCCATTTCAAAATAGCCAAATGATGTTTAAGCTGGAATTCAATTTGGAGGCGATAGAACACGAGTAGAAAGGTTTTCCATCAGAGTCAAAATGAATTATTGCTCTTGGGCCAAACTCATTTTGGCTTTTATACATGCGTGTGTGTGTGTGTTTGAGTGTGTTAAATAAACATAAGAGGGCAAAAAAAAAAAAAAATAAAATGTAGAAGTCTTAGTTGAAAAGAAAGGCATTTTCAGTATTATCTTGGTATTGCCATGTTCAACTTTTTCTCTTCCCCTGGCCCAAAAGTACAAATGACTTTAGGGCTAAGACGAAATAGCCTTGAACTGCACAGTTTGACGCAGCTGAGCAAAAACACATATATTTTACTTGATGTTTTTCTTGTATTTTCAAGAAAATAAAAAATTGTTTTGTTTGCTTGCCAATATATGTATTTTTCCTACTTTTACCTAAACAAAAAGATTGTTATATGATTTATTGATTGAAAATCATGTTGTCTTAAACCCTAACCTGTATTTAGTTTAACCTAAACTTTGTTTATATAAAATTCGAATGCCTTTCATATTACTTTATAAACTTGCACTTCCACTCTACAGAAGCATTAAATCTTTATTTATTTTTATATTCTCAACACAAAGATATACAAACGAGAGGCATCTTTGGGGCTGTTGCTCTGGCTGTTATGACTTGTTTGGGTATTTTTCTGGTCTGAGAGACATTTGCATAAACCGCAAAATCTGCTTGTTTTGAATTAGCATTTTTTGTCGTTGATGCTGATGTTTATTTTTCTTCGTTTTTTTTTATTTTTGGGTGCTCTCAGGTCCGGCCAATAATTTCTTTGGCTTTGGGCTGCGTATCTCTGGTGTTTTGTCTGGCCTTTGGGCGGTTTTTTAAAAAATATTTCAACGAGCTAACTTGAATGTTTTTTTTATAATATTTTTTTTTGTGAGCCTCTACAAAAGTGATATATTCGTGGATTTAAATCTGTGTTTTTGTTATTTTTGCAGGCCCAAAAAACCTGCTGCTGGGCAAGTGCAGATAAAATGAAAGGAGGTTTGGGGGGAACGAAGTCTTCCAGCTGGCATCTTGTATATTTATCTTTATTAGCCATTCACTCATGCGTGACTTGAAAAAAAAAAATAACGAACAGCACACAAAACTTTTGCCAGCATGCAGAAATTAGATAGGGCCGGGCCACGCCCACATCACCAGCAGATCCACACACATCGAGACAATGGGCAACTTAATAAGTTATCAATCAAATTTCGTCAATCGTTTCGGGTCAAAGCAATCAATTTGCGTGATAAAGTCAAATGCCTGAACAGGATTCGTTGAAGGATATCTTTCATCTGCCCCGCCCCTTTTGGCCAGAAAGTGTTCTATGCAATCCTCTCTTGACCATCAGTGGCATTGTTTGTCTGACAGTTGTAAAGTGATTTGCTACGTGAATTGGACGCTGCCATTGGGATCTAGGGAAATGGGTTACTTTTTGGTTGGAGAGATGAAGGCCAAGCTAGAATTGGAAAATATGATTTGTATACATTAAGAGATTTGTTGTCAGCTCATGGACAGCCAAAGATGATTTATATTGATACAGGGCGATGTGACAGAAGATCTATTATTTTTGGCTATGTCCTCACAGCTTTGTGTAAAACAGAATAAATGAATAATATATCAATGATGCAGTTTGCTTTTGCTCTAATTAGGTCTCATGGGGAATTAGGACTTTGATTTGTAAAGTTTTGGATATGTGACAGGAAGGATGAATATTAGAAGGAAACTAACAGTCTTATTATTATTAATTTTAAAGTACTTAACTAAACAACAGGCTAATAGAAAAAGTTTAGGTTTGTTGTAACAACTTAAATATCTTAATTCATTATCTTATCTCACAAAAATTATACATACATATGTCTGTTAGTCCAATAAATAACAACGAAATAAACAAAAGTAAAAACCCCCCCCAAAGTTTACTAGTCAGAAAAAGTTGAAAACGATTTGACCCGATTCAAATCTGACCCAATTTATCTAGTCCATGAAAAAGTAAAAGTTTATGCAAATAAAACGAGAGAATACAATGAAATTTTCCCTATAATAAACAACAGTAAAGCCAACAACCAGCAG